TTTTTAAAATATGCATTCAAGAGAGCTTCATCATATATTTCCCACAGCTTTTGATCACGAGGCAGTTGAACAGTTATGGATGCATGAGGTAGAGTCATGGCATTTACACATGTATTCATTGTAGGCAAAAATGATTGAGTAAGGCCCATTAAATAAAATTTTCAGTTTTTCATCAGATTTTTTGAAAAACATGGGGCGGGCGGACGGTTTTTTATTTTATTTTTTATTTTTTTCGCTAATAGCAGAAGTAGTGTATTTCCTGTTTAAAAAACACGCTTAAAGGTTTTTTCCATTTCATACATTTGGTCTGTGCAAGAAATAGTCACAGTCAAGAGCCCTTTTACTCTTCTATGTCTGAATAGAAGACATTGTTGTACTGTGATAGCGCACCACTGATGCGTAATGAAAAATTTATTAAAGGAACAAGAACAATTAATTTGAACCACAAGGAATATGACTATTGAAAATAGCAATTTAATAGCCTTTTTCACTTGCAGCCTTGTACAGTTCTACTTTCATTGTCACTTGTAGCCTTGTACAGTTCTACTTTCATTGCTTAAATTTCATTGTTAAACTTCTTTCTTGATGCTCGCTTCTCTGGTTTTGATCCAGCTCGTACCTGAGCTACGACGAAAGTCATGTTGAAACAATATGGCCACCTATCTTCGGTTTTCTACTACTTCCGACTAATTCCGATTAATAATATAATTTAAAAAAATAATTCGGGCGGCCAATATTTCATGGGAGGGTGGCGATGAAAAACTTAAAATTTTATTTAATGGGCCTAAATTATTGGAATATAATGAAGGGGGTACTGTGAATCCCAAGAATGGCTCTTCATTAGTTGAGGTTGCAAACTGAAGTATATGTGCCAATGTAATATCTCCCCAGCATCCACCTGAAATTGTATAATTAGTGTTTAGGTAAATATTGAAGACAAAAATCCACAGATGTTTGTTTTTCTGAAATTTTGACAACATATAATCTGAAAAGTGTTAAAAACCCTTTATGTATATTTGTATACATTAGCTGCATCATGAGAACAAATTCTGTTTCATCATTGGTCTCGGTCGCTACGGAGTCATATGACATCATATGAGAAAGTGTGGGAACCGCATGATCAGTTGTGCATGAACCCTTGCAAGGTTAGTTACAAGCAAAACCAGAAGCAGAATATTTCCGTGGAAATGATCAATCAACCTGGTCGCAATACTATTTCTGAAGAACACGAAGAAGAGCTACTAGATTTTTTTTTTTTATTGTATTTTCCCATGTACATTAAACTGAATATAATTTATTTACAATGATTTTCAGGATCTTGGGATAGAGACCTACTAGAAATCTTTGCAGACTTTTTAATTTAGGTCCCTAGTGATGATCATTTATTCTATTTACATAAATAATTAACAGTCAATCAATCTAATCAATATAGAAAAACCAGAATTCAAAGAAAAGATAAGTAAACTATATTTACAAGAGAGAAAAAAGAATACAAAAAATATATGTATTACAATATGTTGAGTTAATGCAACTCTATGTCTATATATCGGCAGTTGTGTGTAGCAAGAAGTGTCGTTTTATTTGCTTTTTGAAACTATTATAGGAATTCATGTCAGTTTGATTTGTTTCTAATGAATTCCATACATCGATTCCTTTAATTTCGAGAGTGTGTTTCACGTAATTTGTCCTTTTATAACATTTATAAAGTTTTGATCTATTTCTTGTGTTATGTCCATGAATTTGGTTTTTTGTGATAAAATAGTGTTTAAAAAAATCTGGTAAGTTTTTAAGGCGGTGGTATCGAAACATGAATAAGGCAATTAAATAGTTGTTTATTTTGAAGATGTCTAGGATGTTTAATTCTTTAAAAATTGGCTCACTATGATCTAGATAGGATTTGAAAGTCATTAGACGCACAATTTTTTTTTGAGTTTTAAAAATTTTTTTAATTCGATTTTTGTAAGTATTACCCCATGCTAGGTTTCCATAAATCAAATATGGATAGACTAATGCATAATATATTAGTTTTACAGAATTTCGGTTTGTGAAATGCCGTATTTTAGCTATTATACCTGCACCTCTAATTAATTTCTTTGTCACCTTAGCTATATGGTCTTTCCAGGTTAAACATTCATCAATTATAATACCAAGGAAGGTTGTGTTCTTCACCTGTTCAATATCATTACCATTTATTCTAATATTTATGGTTCGATTTGGTTTTTTATTTAAAGATCTGAATAAAATTAATTTCGTTTTAGCTGTGTTTATAGATAATTTATTCACATTTAACCATTCGGTGACATTACTAATTTCTTTTTGTATAATATTACAAAGTGTTTTCAGGCATTTGTTACTACATAAAGTAGTAGTGTCATCTGCAAATAATATAAAAGAAATTAATTTACTGCAATTTTCAATATCATTTATATAAAGTAGAAACAAAATTGGTCCAAGAATTGATCCCTGCGGAACACCATTTTTGATTGTCATTTCTTTTGATCTAGTTTCGTTGTATTTAACAATTTGTTTTCTATTCCTTAAATAATCTTGAAACCACAATTTGGCTATTCCCCGTATACCATAATGTTCAAGTTTTTGAATCAAAATATTGTGATTAATTGTGTCAAAAGCTTTTGACAAGTAGAGAAAAATACCTATTGTATATTCACCTTTGTCGATAGCTTTAGTAATCCTGTTAACAAGTTCAATTATTGCAAGCTCAGTGGATCTATTTTCTCTAAAACCATACTGGTGCTGTGTCAGTATAGCATTTTTTTCTAGATGGTTAATTAACCTTTTATACATCAGCTTTTCCAACAATTTAGAAAAACAAGTGAGAACAGAAATGGGACGATAATTCTTAAATTCATTTTTTTCACTCGCTTTGTAAATGGGTGTAACTAGAGCTTTTTTTAAACCATCAGGAATAGTACCATTTAGGAATGCCAAATTGAATATGTGTAAGAGTGGTTCCGAGATTTCTGTGGCGACTGTCTTAATTACTTGTGGACTTATACCATCATACCCTGGGCTCTTTTTTGAATTCAAATTATGAATCTCAGTTTCTAGTTCATATTTAGTAATTGGTCTAATAAAAAAACTGTTATTGCAGCTATTAACAAGATATTTGTCAAAGGATTTTTCACTATTCGGAATTTTCTTTGCTAATTCTGGGCCAATATTTACAAAATATTCATTGAAAGTATTTGCTATTGTGTTTGGATCAGTTATTTTCTCACTAGGGCTATTCCCAATAAATTCTTTTGGTAGCGACCTATTATCCTTATGTTTGTTCATTATTTTATTTAGTGTTTTCCATAAAATCTTTGTATCATGTTTATATTTTATCAATTGTTCTTCATAGTATTTCTTTTTTGCGGTCTTTATTACATGATTTAATCTATTTTTGTATTGTTTATATGTTTTTTTGTTTTTCTCTGTGGGGTAGTGTAAGTATTTTTTATATAGCTTATTTTTTTGCTTAACTGATTTTGCGATGCAAATTGTCATCCATGGGCTTCGATTTTTATCAATATTTCTTTTTGTCATTTTCTTATTTAATGGAAAGGTTTTATCATAAGCTGCTGAAAATAAGCTTAAAAATCTGTTATAAGACTCTGTCGTGTTGTTGATAGAAAGTACATTTTCCCATGACATATTTTTAATTGTGTTAATAAAAGATTGAATATTGGCATCATTGACAATCCTTTTATAGGTAAATTCAAATTTTGATGTTTTCACATTGCATGTTTTTGAGTTCTGTATATGAAATATTGGTAAATGATCTGAAATATCGCAAAAAATTAACCCATTTATGCTGGATTCTATAGATTCTATATTGTTAGTGAAAATATTGTCAATTAATGTAGCCGTGTGATTAGTTATTCTTGTTGGTCTTAGCACAAGTGGGATATACAATGATGTGAATAGTTGTTCTAGAAATCTTTCAGTGTAATTACAAGTTTCCGATTTTAAGAGGTCAATATTAAAATCTCCCATAAGGTAGCATAATTTGTTTTCCTTATCTATTTTTCTAAGTATTTCATTCATCTTATTTTCAAATGAGTCGATTTTATTATTTGGTGGTCTGTATATTACACCTACAATTATATTTTTACCATTAGTTGTTACGATTTCAATAAAAACAGATTCAATTACATTTTCAATGCTTGTGTTTAGGTCAGTGCGTGTTTTGTATTTTAATTCATTTGCAATATACATACCTACTCCTCCTCCAGTTTTAACCGACCTGTTTACATTTTCAAAATTATAATCTTTTAGTTTAAAAAGATCTTCGTTAGTTTCGTTAAGCCAGGTTTCAGTCAGTCCTATTATCTGAATCGGTTTAATCATTGAATATATTAATTGTTTGAAAGAGTCAAATTTATTTATTATGCTTCTAATGTTTAAGTGCATTATAGAAAAGTTCCTATTTAGATTTGCTTTGTTTACTTGTTCATTGAAGTCATTTGGTAAATAATATACACAGTTTATATTTGACGGTTTGTCAAGATTTATATTGTTGTTTTCAAATAGAGCAATATTATTACTCACGTCGAAAGGGTTGAATTTCAAATGCCTTAGTCTATCCATTTCGTCTTCACTAATGTTTTTTCCATTTAAAACAGTAAATTCGTAGTTTAGATCATCAAGTGTTTGAAAAGGTAAAGAATTAGCTAAGCAATGTTGGCATAAATCGGTTGTGTTATTATGCATGTCTATGCTAGTGTTGAAAGATTCTGTGCATGTGGACACAGCATGAAACCAATTACTGCATGTGAGACATTGGATACATGTTTGTGTTTTACTAATATTTTTGAAACAAGAAGAACATTTCTTCTTGTGATCACTGTTAAGGGTGGTCATTTAAAGGCTTTATAGTATAATATTTGTATAATACCTAAACTGGATTGTATGTGATTTATGAGAGCTAATTTGTATAACGTAGGCATTTGCCTTTGTTATAAAGACTATTATCACTAGTATTAGGTTTCAAATGATTAAGAATTATTATAAAAGACTTGCCCTTCAATGATGAGTTTATCTCTTTTTTTGGCTTTTTTTCCTTCTGCTTTAGCTTTTTTTAGCTCAGGATATAGTGTCTTTCTAATTTTTTCGATTTCTTCGGGAAATTGTTCAGATACACCGATATTAGTGCCTCTAAGTTTTTTCGCATTTAACCGCACATGTTCTCGGTCTTGATGGAAGTTGAATTTGACTACAATTGGTCGCGGTTTACGATTTCCTTGTCTTTTTCGTCCAATTCGATGAGACCGGTCAATCTTTACTTTTTCCTTTGCGTCTGTCATTCCCATTTTCGTTTCAATTAGCTCGTGGATAATATCAGTGGTATTTTCTTGATCACGCTCTGGTATGTTGAAGAACAGTAGGTTGTCGCGCATCGATCTCGCTTGCAGGTCAACTATTTTGTTGCGCATTGTAACGTTGTCATGTTCCAGTTTTTCTATTCTCTCCCTGGCTTTATCTTGGTTGTCTTTCATTTTCTCGTTTTCCTTTTTCAGGTCATCTATCTCAGCATGCGCGAATTCTAAAGATTTTTTTATTTCTTTCACGTCGAATTCAATGGAGTCAAGTTTCTCCAATTTCATCATCATGCTTTCGAACATTTGCTGTATTTGCCCCATGTCCACTTCTTTTTTCCCTTCATTATCTTCCAATCGTTTCTCTGGTGTGTTATACTTTGGAATTTTAGATTTGACTGGTTTTGCGGGCGTACAAAGGTTACTATTATTTAAATTTTGCGCAGCGCACTTGGTGGCTTGTTGTTTATCCGCCATCATAACCAAAAATCCACAAAAAAACCCAAAAAAAGATGAAGAAGAAGACAAAAACCCACAATTTTATTGTGGACAAGAGCGCATCATAATGATGGCAAAAATGAGTGAAAATATAAATTCGGCTCTAACGCGACTGTCAAGGTTAGAAGCTGCCCAAGATAAACCAGATGCGAAGAAACGACGTCTATTGCTACCAGCTGACAAGCACACAAATGAAAACCCACTGTCTGAAGCAGGCTGGGGCGGGGTTTTAGGTGATCTCAAGTGTGGAGGTCAATGGTCTACACTCGAGGCAACCAACCATATAAATTACTTGGAGATGCTAGGAGTTTTCTTTGCTCTTAAAGCATTTCACTCAAACCTGAAGGGCAAATACGTTTGTCTGAGAATAGATAACATGACTGCTGTGGCAAGCATTGGGAAAATGGGCACCAGCCATTCTCGAAAACTTAATAATCTAGTTCGGTAAATTTGGGACTGATGTATACAACAAGATATATTTCTAAGCACAGCCCATATACCAGGCGTTGAATCTTTCAACAGAGCATTCAGTTACTGAATGTAACACCAGTTATTGACCTTTTCGCCTCTAGACTGAATTATAAAGTAAAACTGTTTATTGCCTATCAACCTGACCCTGAAGCTCAGGCTGTGAATGCATTTACCATTTCTTGGAAACAGCATTTATTCTATGCCTTTCCTCCATTTAGCATCATACCCTTAGTTCTACAAAACATTCGATAGGGGGAGAGCAGATGACTAATTTTTGTCCCCAAGTGGCCTGCTCAACCGTGGTGGCCACTTCTAATGCGAATGATAAGCCAGTTATGTTACCTATCAGAGAAAACACAATCTACATGCCCAGCAAGCCAGACCTGATCCACCCTCTGCATCCCAAGTTAACGTTATTGATGTGCCACATTTCCGGGAAGCCTTTACAAATAAAGGCCTTTCAGAACGAGCAATTTCAGTCATCATGCTATCGTGGAGAGGAGGTATGCAGAAACAGTATTTACCTTATCTCAATAAATGGCGAGGGTACTGCAATACAAGAAAATTGGATTCCCTTTTAAGGACTGTAGAAGTTAATTTCCTAGCAGTGCTATACAAGGAAGGTCTTGGCTATAGTGCGCTAAATACAGCTCGGAGTGCATTATCAGCAACTTGTACCTTCCCCAGCAATCAGCACTTTAGAACTCCCCTTCTGGTTACCCGTTTCATGAGAGGGGTTCTTGAAACGAGACCATTGTTGCTACATTATTCAGTATACTTATCTCCAAAATATTGCAGACAATTACAGATATCCGACTATATTGAGGGTTGCTATCATGGTCTAGCTACTAGCACTACTGCTATTTTCTATGTCAACATTTAGAATGTATATAATTATATTGCCATATATTGACAAACGCATCCAATCATTATGACTTCATTGTAAATTTTAATTACTATTTCATTTTACTTTAGCCTTATAGGGAACATAATAACACACACAAATGATGTGAACAAAGATACACTGGACGAATCCATTGAGCTACTGAAGCATACCAGCATTATGATCGAGTTGTTCTCTGACAAGCATGTCATATACAACATGAATGACATCCACCTTCAGCATTTGAATGATAAGCTTGACTATTTTACAGTCAAACCAGATGTTCTCTTGCCAACTACATTGCAATATTGTGACGTAATGAAGGTGTGTCCATGCTGATTTTGGCTGCAATATGTTCCAAATATTAGTTAAATACTTCCAAGATCGTTGTGCTAGCTTTTTCACTGAATGCACAATCTGCTGCTTCAAAGGATTAGAGATGCTATTCCATATTTCACACAACTACAAGACAATCAGATACGAGTGGCATATAAAGATATGCACTCCGAATGTTATATCAACATTGACTGCCAAGATGAGCAATTGCATTTGTTTGACGTTTTAGAAATTCTGTTACCTGTAGCTCAAATCGAAGAGTGCAACTGAAGGTTTGGGAAATAGACTCTTCTTTTCTTTTGAGCAAGCAAGTCAGTGTTCAACAAAACAATATCAATGAAGCAAGCCTCAACAACCCGCTAGATAAATCTACATGTTACCCTTTCACAGCGAAGAATTACGGAACCTCTTCAAGAAGACTTAAATTCACAGAAAAAGCTTTTGGGGAGAAATACTCACTCGAACGTCTACCGGCAAATTAGCTTTGCAGAAAGATTTTGCCACCTTGCGTTTGGAAGAGGTAGATGTTGACGAGAAGGCAATAAAAAGTCAAAGTCAAAGAAGAGTAAGAAATTGTCTTGTGGCGGTGAGCATAAAGGTGTTTGATCACGAGATTTTGTATCAGATTGTGATACTGATGGGGATAAAAGATCAGCTGTCAAGAACAAGTTTGATAACAGATCGATCGACACAATGCCTATGTTTAGTTCTGTGAATAGCGACACACAGAAAAACACTAATAATTCTGCAGGCGAAACTCTTCAGTGTTCGCTTGACAAACTTGCAACAATAGATATTGGACAACAACGAGAAATTGTAAGCAATAACTACCGAAAAGACAATAGTTGCAATTGTGTTTTTCTTCACTTTCATTGGAAAGTTTACATTATAGTGATTTACAGTAATGCATAAATTTCATATAATTTAAGTTTGTGCAATGCAGTTTCTGACAAACAAAACACGAGGTCTATGCCATTTTTTCCTAACATTGTTCATAGTTCGTTTTTCGCAAAGGTGCCTTGATGAAATCTGCAGTTGTCCATAACAACTATGTCCCCATTTGAAAGAACAGGATTTTCGTAGACAGGATTGACTAGGTTGATGCACTCATCAAAAAAATTCAGCATTTCGATTCCATTAGAAGGGCCTTGGAGGATGTTAAAGTGGTAACACCAAATAGACTGTGCAAAAGGTTGATAGTGTAATTGCAGTTGGAAGTAAAGCACTTCACTTTAATAGCTAGTTCCTCGTTCTTGCTGTGTCCGTATGTACAATTTGGCGTTGTTTTGATAACTGATGCTTCGTCAAAAAATGAACTTTGGATGGGTTTTGCTCAGACATAAACATTATATAATTCAACGTTCTTGCAGAATTTTAGATTATTATTGTTGTTGTTGTTGCTGTTGTTGTCATTATTATTGTCCTTATTATTATTATTATTGTTATTATTATTATTATTATTATGACATCGAGCAAAGCCGCTTAGACGTGCTCTGTACATGTCCATAGTTTTATAGTAAGTTTTGTGCTTGAATCAGAATATATTCTATAAATTCTTAAATTTAACAAAAGCAAAAAGACTCACATAATGATTCGCTCAAGTTTTATCGCTATGTTACTGGTCTGTATCGTTTGTTCTTTCTGTGGTCAAGATTTCGTCTCGCTTGGTCGCCACACTTGGCGTTGTAAACAACGTTCAAATCACGCGGAACATGATCAGTCTGGCAACTCAAGAAGCCAAGAGCCTGTTATGCAGTCTCCAATTCGAACCGTTGTCAAATGTTGTTGTGGCAAGATATGTAAAGGGGCGCGTGGCCTTAAGATGCATCAGCGTAGCTGTCGGATAATACATGGGCTAAATAACGAACTGAGTGCGGATCTTGAAGAGCAAATGTGCAATAACACAGACGACGCCACGGCAGACATCGACACAAACAGCGCAAACGTAGATAACAACGAAGCTCCTCCTGAACTAAAAAAAGGGGTAATTCTTCCCAAAAATGATTCGGAATGGCTAACGGCTAATGAATATTTTAAATCTGCGCTCCAGCTAGACAATCCAATCAGATCTCAAGACGCGAATTCAAAAATCAAACACCTAAACGCCGTCATCTATGATTACTTTGCAGAGAAATTTGGACATAACGAAACAATTCCTGACGAGAATATTATAAATAAATACAAATTACATACAGTTAAAGAGTTAAAGAAAGCCTTACAGAATTTAAAGTACAACAAAGGTGACCTTAGTGAAATCAGATATGTTTAGTGTACGTTGCGTGACAAGTTGCGCAATCATAACAAAAACGACGGGACTACGTCACACAACACAAGTGAACCACTCAATCACGACAAATAAATCGGTCGAAACTTTTGGGCTATGTTAAAAACGTTATAAATAGAAAAGAATCTGTCTTGCCATCCTTTAACGTGACAGACTGTTTAAATTATTTCTCCCAATCTTTGGCTAAAATCAACCCCAATAAACTGTTTCAAATTCCCAGCTGGATTCCAAAGCTACCAGATCCTCTTGTTCAGTTTGACCTTGACCCCCCAACGTATCAACAAATCACTAATGTTATACGCAAAATGAAAGCCTCTGGTTCCCCCTGCCCCCTCGACCAACTCTCTGTAATATGTTTTAAACGATGCCCATTCTTGAGAACATACCTCACCGAACTGATACACAACATCTGGTCTTCTGGAACGATCCCATCTGAATGGAAACGAGCATGTACCATCCTAATTCATAAAAAAGACAACACAAATCTGCCGTCGAATTTCCGCCCAATAACACTTGAGACTATTCCTTTAAAGGTGTTCACATCTTGTCTTCGCAACTCAATTTACTCCTTCCTCGCGTCAAATAATTTTATCGAACATAACATACAGAAAGGTTTCACACCAAATCTGTCTGGCACGCTAGAACACACTGCGCAAATGGCCCACATCATCAATAAAGCCCGCATCAATCAACGATCCCTTGTCATCACATTGCTTGACCTTAAAAATGCTTTTGGTGAAGTACATCATAACCTAATCCAATCAGTACTAGAATACCACCATATTCCTGATCACATTAAATTCGTCATTAAAAGCCTCTACACTGCTTTCAAGACCTCAATAATTACATCTAGATTCCGCACTCCTTTTATTACCGTCGGTCGTGGTGTATTACAAGGTGATTGCCTCAGTCCACTGCTCTTCAACATGTGTTTTAATACGTTCATACAACATATTAAAGCTGAAAAGTATCGCCAATTTGGTTTTTCGTTTAAACTTTTAAATC